TTAAAGAGGCGTAAAACTATATTCACGCACCAGTCTAAATAAACTTGGGTTCAGTATTATTCGTTAAACTGCTATGCTGAGACTCAGTATAGCAGTGTAACGAATAATACTGAGCCTAAGTTTACTTAGACTGATTCACTCACTCACTGACTGCGGCAGGGTATCACAGTTGGCTGGTACAATAAAACCGGAATGTCTCGACAGGACTAGTACTACCGCACGCATGCATGCGCACACACACGCACGTGCACAAGCAACAAATTGTTCCTGGCGAAAGTACCTATAACCTTTCATTGTAAATATGTTACCAAATTTAAGAAATGTAATGGAACCATGTTCTATTGTCAGATGTTCGACTAGGAGACTGCTTAGTCCGGGACCATGCATTTTAAATCCGTGGATGGATGTTTTAAATTAATAATTGAAAAATATTAAAATGAATAGTGTGATGAAAAAATGAAATTTGCGACAAATGTCCCCTCTGTCACGCTTTGGTATATTTGTAAACCTGAGGCTTGAATTTTTACGTGGGAGATAACGCGACAATGTCCCTGGTAGGATTCATAAGTAGGTCTCGTTAGTGGTGGTCCGATTAATTGAAATAATCGAAGACCAAGCAATCGATCATGTTTTGTCATAATCGAACACAAACAATTTTGGACCACTTTTTTACAATAACAATATTTTTCAAAAGGTTGATTTTGTCTCGACATTGCATAAGCACTACAAGCTCGTTCCAAGTCATGATTAAGTTTATCTTAACAACTCCAGGAAATGTATGTTCCTAACACACTAGTCATCGTTTAAAGATGTGAAATTTGCAAATGCATTTTGTGCAATTTGCGAAAAAACCCGAGAGAACTACATGTTTTTTTCTTTATTTTTTGTGCATTAACAAACATAACCAGGAAAATTTGATAAATGACGCTAACCAATTATTTTTGATGATTGATCGGTTGTAATGAACCAATCATCAATTATGAGATTTACACCAATTCCCAACACTAGGCCTCGTGTTTTATAGAAACAGTATTTGTTTCATTCTCT